AGGGCTCTGTTGATTTAAAACTATCTGTCAAGGATGTGCTTTGTGGAAGCCACATTTTGCCACACAGTGAATACTATTATGCTTTTGTGAAGGTCTGCTACCTTCATCTCACAAGATACAACTCACTTCACATTTCTCGTGTATATTGAAAATGGCCCCTTGTTCTTGTACAGAGCAGAGCAAGCTCTGCACAGTCCTGACAGGGTGTTGATAAAGCATCACACCAGCATTAAAAATTAATGTACTCTCAAAGGCTCAGATCTAAGCTAAATTAGAAACAATTTCTTGGAGCACTTTCCCTCAGTAAAGATTCCTGTGATTAGCCACTTCAGAGACAGAGTTATTCAAAAGTATTTTACATTATTAGCTTTTCTGGAGGTCACCCCTTTATCATGGCAATAGCGTGCTTCACTACGTGCTTCTCATTCAAGAAATGAGCAATACTACTTTTGTTTACATACAAAACTTAATCACCTCAAGCACAGGGAAGCAATGGAAGACTTCAAACTAACATGAAAATCTGAGAAAGCCCTAAAAACTGAAACTGGATACTCAGGGTATAAATATCTAAATAATTTTTACCATGTATTCCATTAGTATTCCAGATAGTCTAAAAATGATTGTACTCCAGGCAAAACACAAAAACAGAGGTGTGTTTACCTATTTGAGCACATTGTCTAACCATGTGACACCTAAGTACAAGAGAGCAGAGAAAGGGAAAAAATTAGAGAGTAGGAATGGAAAACCTGAGAAGTCCATACCATGGATAAGTCTTATTTTTTCTCCTCCCTTAGAGAGAGCAGCTGTGAGTGGCATGACTTTCCCCTTTCACCTCAGCCTCCAGACAACACACTGATATTTGGCAGTTTGACTATGCCCTCTGCTGTTAACAGGAACACAGGAAGGACTTACATGTCTTGGAAAGGGTTTCTTGCCAAACCAAACTGGATTTAAGTTTGGAATCAAACATTTCTTCAAACTTCTCAAAGCACACTTTCAGCTGCAAAAACAAAGGCAAATGGGAAAATTAAAACATTGCCTTTTCTTTGTTTGCAAAATCACAGCCCCAGATGCCACAGAACAATGACTGCAACTCATGGAATGGAACAGTCTGAAAACGGTTGTTTATCTGTCACTTGAAACAATTTGTACAGCTGCTGGTTGCAGCCCCAAAGAAGATCTGGGATGGCTCGAAAGGCTCATGAAATCTGAACAGATTTAAAAAAAGAGATACTGATCTTTAAAATAGGATAAGTAATAACTAATGAAATTAATTATTGAAGTGTTGGGGGAGAGACCTTCACCTTCCGACCACAATGACTAATCCTGATGAGACTGCTTTCTTCAGGCAGAAGGGAAAAAGAACTGGTATTTGCAAGCTGTCACTACAGCTTGTTTTGCTCCAGAGACCCAGAGAAATTCCACCACTGGCTCTGAGGCCAGACCCAAGGCTCGAAAGACCTTGACCCTAAGGCCACAAAGGCAATGGTATATACAAAAGAACTTATAATTGTTGGTTCAAAGTATTTGAGTGCTTAAGACACATAATGTAATATTTTATATATCAGCATGGTAAAGGAGAGAAACTGAACACTGAACGATCTGCAGTCTTTCTAACTCTTCATTATTTTACATCCTGAATTTGAAGTAACTTACCTCTTGAAGCCTGTCTTTGATGCTGGAAATAAAGGAACTTAGGATTTCACTAAAATGGAAAAAAACCAACAAGTATGAACCAGAAATGTAATTTACCAAAGTGTTCAAAAATTGAAAAGATCACTGTAAAAATGAGACAGGAAACACTGCAAGGCATGGTGTAGTATGAAATGTTAGCATGGAAACATGATTACTTTGGGGGGCATAACCCTTTGAAGTCACCTCAGTTGTTTTAGGAAAACATTGAGTCTGTAACGTAAAGAAAGAAAAAAATACATATACCCTCATGTCCATATATGTCATACATATGAAGTTATGGGGGTTTTACTCTCAGATTTTTGGCCTCTCTATCAGATTTTTAGTTGGCATTTGCACAACAGGCCATTAGCTGCTGGGGTGTGATCAACATGTTAACTGCTTCAGAAGGACCCAGCCGGCGCGGTGACCTGCCAGTTGCTGCAATACATGGGTATTGTGTTTGGACTAAAATAACTGGGAAAAACACGGGAAAAGCTTCAGCATCAACAAAGCCCAGGCCACAAAGAACAAATACTGCAAATCCTTTTCTCCTGAGATTATGCCTGTGATTTCTGTTATCTATCCTTTTAAATTGAGCCAGAGTATCAGGAACTAGGCTACATTCATGATTAACCTGCCACACCAAAATGCATGGATGGTTGCTAAGCAAAGTGATAATCTTTTCCTCTCTGAAGATTTGGGTCATTTGAAGTCAATCATTAGAGTGATCTAAATTACAACGGCCAAAAATATGGAGAGGCCAGGGAGAATCTAGTTATGAGAATTAGGGAGTGCTTCTGAAATCTCTCTAGCCTTATGGAAAGGAATATACTAATTTTCTTAGTCAAATTTGTGGGGGATACAAATTGATAAATTATACACTTATCTTTGCAAAGATAATATAGTTATTTCTAAAAACAGGCTTCTAACCTGGGAGGAAGTCTGGAGTGTAGGAAGTAGCATATAGGAAAGCATTTAAAGAAAAAATAAAGAATAATTATAAGTGATGCCTAAATATTTAAAACTACTTTCTCATTTCATTACAAAAATCTTCCTGTAATAGGCAATAGAGAATAAAATTTTGTCTTATCAGAAACATAGTGCCCATTGAAAAGGCAGGAGAGATACATAGCCAGATTTGATCAAATGCTTTTAATAAAAACACACTTCACTTTGGATGTTACATTACAGTGCTAAGAATTATTTATAGGTGCACTGAGGAGTTTGCCATATTTCATTTTTGAGCTTCAAATTGCTGGCTTGTTCCTTAAAGTCCTTCATGACCTACAGGTACATGTAATTCTTGACATCTGTCAAAGAGTAAATTACATTAGCAAATAACTTGTCTGTTAAAAAAAAATTATATAAAAATCTTGTATGGAAATAAAATTCTAGAGATGTGCGCAGGTTTATAAAGATGTAATCTGCACACAAATGTGTTTGGCAATCCCCTCATCTGACCCAAATGTGAAGGCCATCCTCAGAGTCCCTTTTATCAGTCCCCACATAGCCTATAAAATTTTGAGAAATAAGGGTTTTAACAGAGAATCAATACAGAAAAAAGAAACAATGCTGATTAGATAAAGACAAAAGTAAATTCAGGTTAGAGTTTTGCTGTTCCATGGGTCTTAAAACTGAATGTGTTACATAAATTGCAAATAAATCCTATTCTCTTACCTTGCGACTCTTTCCAATTAGAAATTATTTAAAATCTTAAAAATACTTTTCTTGGAGAAAAGATTTGTAAGAGGGGAAGAAGGAGCTTCAGGGAGTGATAACCACCAGAAGAGAAAGAATTTACTGTGGATGTCTACATACCGGTCATATTTATCCTTTATTTTGTTCTTATTCACTTCAAAATTTTCCAAGACACTTTTCACTCTTCCTGTACCAAAATTAAGAGGACCTTTTTCTCTTGTTTCTTCATCAAATAACTGTGGTTTTGTCTGATATTTGGTAAAAATACTGGGCTCACTCTGTGACACAAACCAAAGAAAAATGTTGAAGTACAAAAATAATCAGAACATTAATTAGAAGAAACAATTTGTTTATCCAGTGCTTTGCAGACTGACATCACAGTGATTGGACATGTCAGATTAGATTGGATGAGGAGATTAAGATTTTTTTGAGATTATGCCTCATTTAATGTGCCTAGTTAGATCAACTTCCTGTGGAACTGGGATCCAGCCCAAATTCCTCCAGACACAGGTTTTCTCTCATCTTGAAGATTTTTAGTTTGCTACAATTATAAGGCGTGCAGGTTTTTTTTCCCTTCTATGTCCAAGACAGAGACTATAAATGAATTTCAGTGTTCCTGGAGTTGTGGAAAAGTTCAAGTTGTCAGTAGAATCTCTCTGTGCAGGAATCTAAAAAAAATCCTATTGAATTTCCTGATGGATTACATCATTTTGCTGCCAACTAGCAACATTGACAGACTGTAGATGAGTTTTTCACATGCTTCAATACACATTTTAGAACAAGAAATTTAATATTAATATGAATGCTTCGTTCTACAAAATTTCCAGACACTGTGTGACCAAAATGGAAATGCCTTTTCCTTAAAACATAAGAAAATGTAAATTCCATTTATTTTTTTTCATCGTGAAAAGTGCATTTCCTGTTTTGTGTCTGATGAAAACAGCTCCTAGGCAAAATGCATAGGACAGCAGATAGCATCTGGAACTGAAGGACAGCCCAGGGCCTCCAAGCTGGCATCACTGCTCTTTCCTAATCTTTGCTCCAGGTGTCTTTATTCAGATCTGGTTCTCTCTGTTAGCAATGCAGGAAGTATTTTAGTGGTGGCTGGTAACATCAGAAACCATGAGCTGTAAGAGGAACATTGTGAGCATAGAAACTCTTCATCCCTATCCAAAAACATCTAAGCATCTACCATAACAACAATGCAGCAAGGTCATTGTCAGTGCAGGGAAGCAAACACTGAGTAGCTCTGTCATTCTTGCAGAAAGTTAAGAAAGTGAAATACATCATTTTTGAAAGAAAATAGATGGAATATTCTAACTTGGTTAGGTAGGTGGTCTAAAGACATTACTTTGAGAATAATTTCATATTATCTTAGTAAATTAAAAAAATGTGATTGAAGAAAATAATACCCATCTCAATAATAATTTATAGCAATCTGTTATAAATACCACATTTGTCTGACCAGGCTGCTACTTTGTCTTGTCACAGTAAATATGTGTATGGAGGAAGAAGATAACTTGATTTCAGCAGTTACTGACATTTGTTACCACCTGATTTCAGCATTTTCCATTAACTCTGAATGGTGGCTGTGTGCCTGCACAGTACTGACTGAGAGCAAGACTCACATCCTGGGAGTTCTGCTGTCCCGGCTGCGTGCCCAGCTCCAGTGGTGCTGCTGCCGACTGCACATTCTCCAGGCAGAACTGGGAGCCAAAGAGGAGCTGAGAATCACTCAGACTCGAGTAGTCACTGGCAGTGCTGCTCCGCATGGAAAACTTATTAGGCCTGAAATGGTGCAGAGAGAGATGTGAATAAGTCTGGAGCAATTAAAAAGACAAACAAAATTCCCTACATGGCCTGCTTGAACTGCTTGGTCATGACCCACACCAACATGTTAATTTTTACTCTCTGCTTGGAAGGTGCTGTTCCTATAATGGCATAAGGTAGAATTATAAGATAAACCAGACAGGTTATCTTAAACTAGCACATCCACACAAATAGAGTGTGGTAGTTTCACATTCACGTTATAGGAGCGAAGGTGTTTCTCCAGCATGTCCTGCAGACAAAAGACCAAACCCAGGACTGGGCATCTAAAACAGCTCATCCTACCTGCCTTGTCAATCAGTCTTAGTTAAAGAGACACCTTGGGCTCCTAGCAAGTGCTGGGTCTCTCCCTTTCAGCTACTCTGAGTAACAATTTCTGTTGTAGCTCAGGTGTTGATTCAATGAATTGGAAGGCAGTTCCAAGAGAATAAAGCTTTCTGACTAATAGTTGACATTTCTTGGGCATTTGTTCCCCAGATGCCTTAAGTCTGACACAGTAGAACAACAAATAAATAGAGATAGCATATGGCTGGATGAACTGATACAAATTGTTGGAAGTATTTCAAACATATTAACATGCTGCTTCAAAAAAAACATGCTTCTATCCCTTGAGCATTACTCAAATAAATATTTTCTAGATACCCTTGATTTTCTGCTGTGTTGCTCTGATTCTACTCCTCTTCAGAAACACTCTTATACTCTTCTCCTGCTTTATGGTCTAGGATTATGGCACAGGACCAGCTTCCCTCAGACAAGGGTTTCCCTGCACAGCTACATTGCTTCTCATTGTGTTGGAGGCTGGCTTCAGTATTTGGTTAGCAAAAATACATACAAAAGACTTCTTTCATTTTTCACAAAGAATTGCAGAATGGTTTGGGTTAGAAGGGACCTTAAAGATCACCTAGTTCCAATCCTCTTGCCATGGGCAGGGACACCTTCCACTGTACCACATTACACAAAGTGCCATCCCTTCCAGCCTTGAACATTTTCAGAGATGAGGCATCTACAGCTTCTCTGGGCAACCTGTGCCAGTGCCTTATCACCCTCACAGGAAAGTATTTTGTCATAACAATCAATCTAAATCTACTCTCTTTCAGTCTAAATGATCACTATTCCATTGCTCCACATCCACAGGGTCTGGCAGAGTGTTTAGGTTAGGATCAAACACAAAACAAGCTGTGCTGGGTTTATATTCTCAGTTCTTGTTTTTTTTGACCTACCAAGATGGAGAGATGTGTTGCTCCCTTTGAAGCTGAAAACTAGAGACCAAAATAAATGAAAATAACTAATGAAAATTTTGTGCAAGGTTTTCCTTCCATATCAAATGATACAAGTAAAGGAGAAAGAATTGGAGAATAACTCATGTGTATAACAAGAGATGATCACCCCAACATTTATTAGCTGTGACGTGTTTGGTTAATCCCTAGTTTTGGAAAGAGCCCAAACATCATAGACACAACAGGGAAAGGATTTAGCAACAGTACTTGAACTGCTCAGTTTCCATTATATAGTAGTGTCACTGACAGTATCATATTAATACTTTTGGCTTTAAGCTCACTGAGTACACTGAGCTGCAGGCAAAAATAGATCAGGTATGGGTTTCTGGATTCTCAAAAAGCCTGATAAGTCTGTCTGAATTCAAACCTTCTCCCTTAATCCCTCTCTGGACCCCAAATCTGCTAAGAAAAAAATTTGAGTACAATTTTACTTGCACAGCTTCTTGTTTCCATCTTAGCTAAGCTTTGTAAAAAAAAATAAAAAAATAAAAAAATTTCTTAATCTACATGCAGTATGTGGGGGAGATGTGAGCACATGGGCTGCCATGACCACACACACAGGCACAGTCCCTGCCTGCAATGTGAGTAGCACATCTCCTGCACCAGTTTTCTAAATCCTCCTGTCTTCCAGACAAAAAAAGCTCCCTCTTAGTTTTAGGAAGGGTTTTTATAATCTTTAGATGCTTTACAGTCTTGACAAACCCCCTTTGAAAGTGTCCAGTACAATTGGTGAATATCACACCCCACAATATGCTCGTTTTCTCAGATGCTTCATGTTATTTAATACCTGAAGCCCAAGATTCTTATAACAAAGATTTTATGAGGAGTATTGAGCTGAAAGGACTTTATGAGCCAAGGGACTTCCTAGGCTTACTCTGCACTACAGCCAAAGACAGCTGTTGGCTGCTCTGGAGCCCAGGTTTTCTGTCTTAAGTCCACTACCTCAGCAGTTGGTTTAGGAATCATGGCACTGTTGCAAATTAAAGGGGGAGGTGAAACAGATGTCTCTTTTCAATATACTCATTCCCCTGAGCAATGGATTTCTTTCTCCCTTGCTTAACTCTGCTGGCAATTAATTTACTAACAAGACCATCTGGGCTAGCCATCAGCCTGGCCATGCTTGGCCCAGGCCTGTCCCTGACAGAGAGATCAGACAGCCTTGATCACATGTGGGATCAGATCCGTGATCAGGCAACTCCACCTCTTCTAACCACCTGACAATTCCCCTCAGAATGCCTGAGGTGCAGGGATGCATGTTCTGTCCTAAATATAAACCCTTTCCCATAAACAGCGAGGAAACATCCCAGGTATGCAATCCCACTTAGCAGTCCCTCCTAAGTGAGGAGTGCAATAGTTTACCTCAGGAGAACTTCTGGCTTTCTGCTAACATGAGCCATGCACCAAATCATCCGTGTGTGTTGGTGCCCATAACATTCCTTTGGTACTGGCATTAGCATATGCATCCAAAGTAAAACCAACTTTAGATATGTAAAACAAGTTCTTGACAGCTCCAAAAAATGGTTAATCATCCTCTGCTGACTGATGGTGAAATGATTTCATTTTCCTACCTAACTTACTGCAAGGTATTGCAATATTGGCATCTCCAACCCTTTCCCGTGATATGAGTGTGATCTAAAAAAATCTGCAGCGTTCTGCATATCTGAGGGGTTAGCTAGATCTTCCCAGTATCTGTTTCCTTGTTGTCAGTGGAAATTCCCCCTTTAGAGGAGGAGTTAGAACTTTCAGGAACTTCTTTCATTTTCCTAATTTTTCTAATTTCCATTCCAAATACTTTAGCACAATCACATACAAACATTCACCTGTCATTCAAAGCTTCTGCCTTACCTCAAAACAAACATGGCATGCAATAAATACCCTCTTCTTATATTTCCTAGATGTTCTAGGGACATTGACAAACTAAAGCTTCATAACTGTAAATTGCCATAGGCCTCATCAATCTTTTTTTAAAAACTGACATTTGTATTCTGTTGTTTGGATCCATCCTAATGTGCCAACACCAAGGTTTAAGAGTCATTTGAAAAAGCAAACTGAAACTTCTACAATTTGCAACGTAACATTTATCTGCAGTGCTGCTTTAAGTGATTTTCTCTGGTTCTGTCATCCCCACTGAAGCTGTGCCAACATCCCTCTTCTTCTCAAGCACTGTGGGTGAAGCTCACTTACACCTTTCTGACACATTTCTTCAAAGTTCAGTAAAGCCTCTTTCCCAAAGAAGAGATCTTTCTCTCCTAGTAGCAGTGTCTTGAGTAGGATCAGTGCCATAGTCTCTCTTCTCCTGGTTCCCCTCCAGAAAATCTCTCAGCCCTTTCTGCTTCTCCTCATTTAGGGACCAGGGGTGAATCACAACAAATCCAATTTAAATTCTGGGAACTGCCATTCACCTGCTCTTCCTCCTGGCTATAGCCTGTATCTATAGGAACTGTCTCTAGCTCTGCTATACTGCTCTCATCCTCACTGTCAGCTGCCTGCCAATGTGCTCAGCAAATGAGCAAGGATCAGCCTTGGCTTTGGGTGCAGGGGAGCTGGAGGAGTTTAAATCAAGGAGTTTAAGCTGCTATTGCAGCCTCCAGCCATTTGCCACATCTTCACTGGAAACAGTCACAGCAGAAAATTATTCTTCTGCTTCCTGGCCTCTGGAATGGCATGACCTGCTTGCTGCAAATAATTTGCACCACATCCTAAAAGGAATTTCTACAAACAGATTCTGGCACTGGCCCTAATGCATTAACCACAATGAAATCCCTCTCAGTTATTCAGCTCAAACACTGCCTCCAGTTTCCAGATTTCAGGTTCGAAATCCTTCTGGTCTTATTTTAATTTCTCAAGGTCATTTTTACTTTCTATTACTTTTTTCATTGTTCATTCAGCTGTGATTCAATGCTACCCAGATATCCTTACCTTGGAATCTATGCTAGTATTTTGTCCTGAGCTGGTTGCCAGTTACAACAGAGCATTTGCTTTAAGAAGAGATTGGGATTTCTGCAGAGTACTCCTGTTTGCTCCCACAAAATGCATCCCCAACCATATTAAAAGTTATGCATCTGGAGACAGAGATCTTTTTTGCCACACCCCTCTCTAGCCTGAAGCTATCTTCCAGCCTGCACTTATAGCCCCAGTTTCTCATTCCTGTGAGGCTCTGGAAATTTACAGCTGCTCTCCTGGTCTTTGTCCTGGCTGTCTCCTTCATTTTCTGCTTATTCTCGAACCTTAATACAACTTTCAAACTATGTGACCTTGTGATGTGGGATGGAATTTCATGGGATAATGGATTGAATTAGTTTTTTAAACTTGGAAGTTATTCTCAACAGCAGAAATAAACCACAGAGAGTAGTGGCCCAAGTAGGTCTTAACTTCAAGCATCCATTTAGAATGCCTCTTTAATATTTTCATAATTTCTTGGCCTTAATCTCTGGCAGGCTTTCTGCTTCTGATATCTTTGGAAGCCAGTATATGAGTAGCTTCTATGCATTTAGCAAGTTATTTCTTTTGTCATGGTACAAGCAATTTCTCATAACTTCAATTTCAAATCTAAATAATCAAGTCTAAATAATCTTTCCGCCTCAGGCAAACATTTAACCCTTTGGGCTGTACAGTTTAATTTATTTTTTAATGAGGTTTCTTATTACTATTCCAGAGTATTTTTTCTTTTAATTAACAGTAGTGGATTTTTTGGCTTCTGCTGCTCCTGCAGAGATACTGACTCCATTTCCCTACTGCCACTCTCATGGTAGCACTACAAGAGTAAATAGCCTGAAC